GATAATTATACTATGAGATATGAATGCGCCCATAGAAGATATAGATGGGTATACCGACCCGACAGGCAAAATGATCATGGATATGTGTGAAAGGCATGATTTGATCATTTGCAAAAGTACCGAGAAGTGTGAAGGGCAAATAACATGGGAGGTAGGAAGGCTGCAGTCGACGATAGATTATGCACTGATGTCACATAGGATGTATGATAAGCTCAGGGGAATGCACATAGATGAAGGTGGCTCCAGAGGTCTGGGTAGTGATCACAAACGTATCAAGCTAAGTTTTGGAAGAGCAGTGAAAGTGGGAAGGAGACAAGATGAGCAACTACAGGAAAATTTTTATCCAGAAAGGCAAATTGAAATAGCCACTAAACAAATTGAAAAAGTAATCACGGAGGATAATAAAACAGTGTGGACATACGCGAATCTAATTAGACTGTTTGAGCTAGAGCTTGCTAACACGCGTGACAAGTCACCCCGGAAAGAAGACACAAACCCGAAAGTTGGTGGGATGAGGAAGTTATGAGAGCCATAGCAAAACGTCAGGAAGCCTCTAGGGAACACAGACATGCTAAGCAGCGGGGTGAACCGACAGATGGTGTTGAAAAAAAAGGGAAACCTTTCTAAGCTGTAGAAGGGATGCATCCCTTCTGATCAATGAAAAGATTAGAAGAAAGGGAGCTCAGTGGCTGGCAGAAGTACATAAGAAAGATAGAAAGGCAGCTGTGAAGTTTTGGAACCATCTAAACTCCCTAAGAAATGAGACAAGCCTAGAACAGAGGTTTATAACTACAGCCCAAGGTGCTAGGCTAGAAGGGGAATAAGCTATTGAATATATGAGAACAAGGGTGACAGAAAAGTTTCAACAAAGAAGTGCTTTATGCACCACAATATACAAGGATGAATCAAGTGGCGCAATGGCTCCATTTTCACAACGAGAGTGGGAAAGGGCTGAGAAAAGGGCTCCTAGTAGTACATCAACAGGCCCAGATGACATTCAAATTATGCTGATAAAGACATTAGGTCCGAAGTCTAAGCAGGCTTTGAGAGAGGCAGTGAGCAAACTAATAATCGATGGTGAAGTTCCCGATGGATCAAAACTTAGTAGGATGAGCATGATCTATAAAAGAAAGGGGGACGAAGCTGACATAAACAACTACCGTCCTATAACAGTGACATCAGTGGTCTACAGGCTGGCGATGCAGATTATAAAGGAAAGACTGCAGGCATGGAAGAGGATGAGGGGGTGCTGGGGGAACTGCAGATCGGGTTTCGGAAACACAGGAGGTTGGAAGACAATCTGTTCTCACTGACGCAGTGCATCGAAATATCAGAAAAGGAACACAGGCCCCTGTGGCTAGCATTTTTGGATATCAAAGGAGCGTACGATATCGTGGTTAAAGAGGAATTGTGGGGAATACTAGACAGAATAGGCGTGGAACATGTAGTCACTAATCCTTTAAAGGATATCTATAAAGGGAACAAGGTAGTTATAAAGTGGGAAAAACAGGTATCCAAGCCTGCAGAGGTCAAACGGGGGCTTAGGCAGAGGTGTCCGCTGTCACCCTTATTATTCATAATGTACCTACAAGGATCAGAGGCCAAATTAGAGGGAAGTGGACTGGGCTTCAACCTTTATTTTGTCAAACAAGGAAAACTCATTGATCAGACACTACCAGCATTGATGTACGCAGATGATATAGTGCTAATGGCCGACAACAAGGAAGATTTGCAGAGATGGGTGGTTATCTGCGGTAATGAGGGAGATAGGTTAGATTTCAGATTCAGTAAAGAAAAATCAGCAGTCATGATTTTTAATCACAATGAAGGTAGTGAGCTTAGAATACAGGAGACCACGCTAGAGATAACAGGTAAATACAAATATCTTGGCGTATGAATAAGCAATGGGGCCGAGTACCTAAGGGAACACGAAATATACGCGACGACTAAAGGTAACAGGAATGCAGCGGTAATGAAAAACAGGGCACTGTGGAATTACAATAGGTATGATGTTGTCAGAGGAATATGGAAAGGGGTCATGGTTCCTGGTCTGACGTTCGGCAATGCGGTCTTGTGCATGAGATCAGAAGTTCAAGCAATATTAGAAATTAAGCAACATAGAATAGGTAGGCTTGCCTTAGGAGCTCACGGGAATACACCAAATCAGGGAGTACAAGGTGATATGGGATGGACATCATTTGAGGGCAGGGAAGCTAGCAGCACTATAAAACTTGAGAAGGGATTGAGAGAAATGGGGAGGAGCGTTGGGCTAGGAAGGTGTTCAGCTACTTGTACATGAAGAATGTCAATACAAAATGGAGGAAGCGAACCAGAAAATTGACTGGTAAATACTTAGAAAACAGCAGGGTGCCAAATAAAAAAGAATATCGGTTAAGAAGAAGGTGAAGGAAGCTGAGACCGATATGTGGAGAATTGGCATGATTAAGAACTCCGCACTAGAGGTCTATCGAACTTTTAAGCAGGAAATTGCCAAGCAAAGGTTCTATGATAATACTCGGGGTAGTTCTCTACTGTTTGAGGCCAGGACGAAAGTATTGCGAACCAAGACATATCGGGCCAAATACGAAGGGGTAGACACTGTATGCAGTGCGTGTGGAGAGGAAGAAGAAACTGCCGAACACTTGATAAGGTTCTGTAAAGGACTTCGCCCTCTAGTTCAGGATGATGGCGCCGAGTTTTTCAAAGCAGTTGGGTTTAGGGACAGGGAGGGCAAAATAGACTTTAAGCGGGTAGAAATAACTAGAAGGAGGTTATACGATTGGTGGCTAAAGTCAAGGCACGAGTGAAAATACAACGTTTCACTGCAAAGTACGAATCCTCAACCTCACTTTTTAAAAGAAGAAAAATAAATCTAGTGTTTGGTTCATTAAGTATTACGGCTTGGTGGCGCTAGCCACCGCCCGATTTAAAGGGTACAGCCATATCCATCCATCCATCCATCCATCCATCCATCCATCCATCCATCCATCCATCCATCCATCCATCCATCCATCCAGCCAGCCATCCATCCGTCCGTCCGTCCGTCCGTCCGTCCGTCCGTCCGTCCGTCCGTCCGTCCGTCCGTCCGTCCGTCCGTCCGTCCGTCCGTCCGTCCATCCATCCATCCATCCATCCATCCATCCATCCATCCATCCATCCATACATCCATCCATCCGTCTTTTTCCATGGCCCGCGCGCTCGCCTCCTCGAAGTGGCTTTGAAAGAAAGGGAAGTGAAGGAGAAAGTTTGGCGTTGCAACTGCCTCTCTCTCAGGAGGTCACCTCAGTCACGCCACTCAGGGGATGGGTAGTGGAGGAGAGAAAGTAATGTGAAAGGGAGAGGAAAATAGGGTATCAGTGGTGTTTGATCTGGCTGCGCGCAAGCGCGGGGCACCTACGACCAGAGAGGAGAGAAAAAAGTCACTGTTTCGCCAAAGGGCGATGCAATGAATGCGATAGCAACCTATTCGGTTGTTTTACAAAGCGAAGCTAGCATTTTAGGAGCAATAATATTTATAGTAAACATGCATTGCTTTTAGTAACCAAATTTCCTGCGGCGCGGCCACAGTAGATGACCACAACAAGACTCGTGCGAAGTGATGGCGTTGATGAGAAGCGTCTCCCGTGGGCAATGCATGCTGGCACAAAGGGCTATACGTCGTGTGTTGCCGCTGGTGGCAGTTTATGTGTATAGTAAATTTATATGTGGACGGCCGCTCCAGGTACACGTTTGGCACCGTTTTTTTTTTTCGTGCTTAGAACGCAGCCCGTAGAAGCTCAGCTCCCGCCCGCTGTGGTGGTGAGAGCCATGCGCTTGCCGAATTAGCGCGGCAACCCCCTTCACCCTGTTCACTCACGAGGTAAGCGCGCGCGCAGACAACCCCGGCCGGAAAGCGATGTTCGCTCCTCTGAAAGAGGAGGCTAAGATATACTTCTCCGTATATATACATACATATACAGAGGTATATGTATGTATGGGAGATCGGCGGCTGAACTGAAATTTGCCCCGTGTCCTTGCTTCAAACGACCACGAAGCTGCCAATCTTGGGGGAGTCAACAATGCCCTCTCCGAGGCTTCCCTGGCGTCTGAATAGGCAGCTAGAGCACCGAACGGAAGTCTTTTCTTCACTTCCCTATTGTGTGCACCACCCCCATTCCTCGTTACCATGGATTATTGCGGGGGCTGTGCCGTGTAGCTAGAAAGGGACAATTAAAGAGCGGGAGCATGGCTGAAAATGAGGTGCAAGGTGTGCAAGTTTTGTCGGTGTCACTCAGTGTGCCTTCAATGGGACTACATAATTGGCTAACGAAAGACTGTGAACACGACAAGGCACGGCGGGGTCTTGGAGAGGCCGCCCGCGGACTGTTTGTGTCCTTGCAGTGTACATAGACTGACGACAAGAGAAAAGGCACTCCTAAAGACAGCCCACAGACAGAATTTGATGTTCTATCTTTCTAGTGTAAACGCGCCTTTAGGGCGCACTCTCATCTCTCACGCGTACTTTGCCCCACGGAGAGAGGGGGGGGAGTAGAACGATCACGTGTGTGCGTGCTCTCTCGGGTGGGGAGAATCGTTCGCCTTGGGCTTCCACAGCAACGATTCGTTGTAGTAACAGGGCGCACAAAGATCACTGCACTCACTGCACAGTGTCCGTTTGCGAAAAGGGCATGCTTTTCAGACACAGCGAAGTAACAACTGAGACGCTTATTCGCATTCATCTGTACTCGCGAGTATGTATCGTGCGTCATGTGTGCGTGAGAAACACGTGTTACTTTTCGATCTGATTGCCACTCTTCTCGTGACCTTTCAATTTGTTGCTATCGTGTTCATTACTTCGCACTTGCGGAAAAGCGGTCACTTTTCACTAAAGTGTGGCGGGAGAGTCTCGCGATTAAGTTGAGTCGGGTGCTCACTGTATTTCAATGCTGTCGCTTCGTTCGAAGAACTTGCCAGTAACTTTCAGATACTAATCTATCGTGCGTGCATTGTTCACTATGCAGGCGTGCTGCTCAAACCAAACCACCACGAAGCGTGGCGGGAATTCGAGAAGGTCATCAGAAACTTCAACGCAAGCCAAGACGCCAAGCGCTTGGGCATCGAATTCAGCGCATACGCGGCTGAACACGAAGACGACCTCTTTACGGTGACGCATGAACGTAAGCGCATCTGGGAGTGTCGCTCTTCGTTTTACACCGTCACCTTTCATGAACTTGGCCAATCGTAGTTGTACTTTTCCATCGTCCCTTTCTTTTTCCAGTGTGCCGGCAGCTGAGTTCCGGAGTGACAACCGTGCTCATCCCGACGTCGGGACTCTCGGACGCGTCGGTCCGGTCGCTCTTCGCCAACACCAACGTGCCACGCATCACGACCACCGCTGGAGAAAACTGCGTGCCTGAAAATGGTGTTGCCACTAATGACTCGATGGTCGACACGGTGGCAAACGGAACGATAGCAGTGGACGACGACGCGACGCCACGACCAGAGCCGCTGGGGGTTAGCATGATGCCCGACCTGACAGCAGCCGTCCTCGACTTTGCTGAAGCGTGTAACTTTCGCTCGGCCGTCTTCTTTTACGACTCCGAACACGGTAATTTTCCGATTGTTCGGGGCAACACTGCGAATTTACCACTTTCGAAAAAAAGAAATAAAAAACCTCATGCACTTGATCATACTGTTGCTGCGCATAAACACCAGAGGTAGCTACGATCACGTAGGATATATAGTTACTAGACAGTTATAGTATACCGGGCGTACCGTGAAAACGGAATTGAAGTGTGCATGCGCAGATACGTACGCTACTCCTACCGCTTACCGTACACGCGCTATTTTTCAGCTTTAACGTTACCGAGGTAGCGTAGGTGTACGTTGTGTACGTAAACAAGGCACCGCTCTCGGACGCCCTCTTCGCAGTCATTTTGGCGTAGTTGTTGAATGATTCATGTTGTTTGTAGCAAACGACTGTTTAAAGTGGCTTCGCTTGCCTTCAGTTAGCTTCGAAGACCGAGTATTGCGGATAAATTGGCGTAGTTTTTGAGATAGTTTCCCATTTCAAGCGCGTCTAGGCCTAACTACAAGATCGATGTAAAGAAATCGGCAACAAATTTTTACGCGTTTAATGCGTGCTTCATATCTATTTCCTTTTATTAGTAGTAAAATAAATTTGTAACAATGTTCGTTATGTGGCATAGGCACGTATTCTCGTTTTCTTTTCCTTTTCACTGTCTTTACTCTGTTAAACATTCGATAGGAGGCGCCACCGTCCCAGCTAGGGCACGTAAATCACGTAAACGCTATCCCGCTAAACTATAAGACGTTGTCCGCAACGAACGTTTGCTGCACGGCAATGCCGTTCTCTTGACCTCCGCTATCACGTTCACCGTAAACTATAACTGTGCTTCCTAAAGGTAGCATATACAGTATCTCTAGTAGGAAAGAGGATGCTCGCAGTAGCATGCAAAACTGTCAATTTTCACGGTAGAATAACCGCCGAAAAACGGCAAAACAAAAAGCAGAACAATACAGAACAGGCGCAAAAATAACAGCTGTCGGGTTCATTACGCAGAAAGGAATAAATACTAGTACTACGACTGCTCGCGCACCCTGACAGTACAAATATTGGTCACATTTTGTTTTTCCGAGGAGGCTGATTTCACAGTTATGGAGATGTTTCTCCACAAGTAGGAGGAAGGAAGGAGAACAGGGAGGTTATAGCCCGTTCTAGTTTCTTGTAAAACGAGCAGTTAAGAGTATGATTACTACTTTTAATACTATAAGTATTATTATTATCATCATCATTAGAAAAGATGTTTCAAGTTTCTGATGCACCAGATTGACTGGATAAGTGCTTTTTGTCAGAACAAAGGATTATGGAATGCTGGACGAGTCCGTTCTCTGCTAAACTCGCTTTGAAAGCATTATTCTGTTGTTTTTTTTTTGCGGACAGTTGGTTTTAGCACTTGGCACATGACTTTCAAGTGCTTCTGCTTCCCCCCCCCCCCCCTTTTTTTTGTTTTCTCTCGCTATCCATGAAACACACAAATCGACAGTGGTTGTGAACAAATCGCAGCGCTGGCCACGCTGGGTGGATTGCTGCAGCCACCCGAGGGCCACCGACGGCTCGCCATCACGAGGATGCTGCGCGTGTCGCGCGACGGGAGTTCGGCGCACGCCGCACTGGCGGCCATGGAGCGAGCAGACCCGCACGGTCGCAAGCTGGTTGTGCTCGACTGCGACCACGAGCTCGCCAAAGACATCGTCATCCGGCACGTCAGGGACATCTACATGGGCAGGAGGAACTACCACTACGTGCTTGTGAGGCCCGTGAGTGGCCACGAAATCACATTTTTCTCTTGGGTTCAACAATATACTCATTGTGCTACTTATGTGCGCAAAGGTGCCGCGTAGAACAGCCACGTTCTACAGCAGCCACTGCTGTAAGAAGCGAATGGCTACTTCGCACAACGGCTGCAATCAGAGTTCATAAATCATATCAGTTGCGAAACTGCGTTCGACACTCGAGCTGATTGTGCGGGGGCGTAAAAACCATGGTGGGTGGTGGTAGTGGTTACAATGAAGAGGAAAAAGGCACCTAATTTCTGTCTGCCTTCAGGCGACACGGCGCAGTGCCTTATAGGGGTGGGGGAGAGGAGGGATAAAAAGAATAGAAGGAAAGTAGAAGCAGAAGAAGACAGCCAACGAGAGGAAAAAGAAGGAGATAGGAAAGTGGGGATCCGGTCGAAGCAGTCCAAGGGCGGGGTGCCACAATGCGAGAGCTACACGGCATCAGGAGACCGCGGAGGGCGAACCAGTCGGCGGGAGCTACGCTGAAGTCGGAGATCGCGAGGGCACAACCGTCCAGCTTGAAATCCTGCGAGCGAATCCTAAAAAAAAAAAAAAGAAAAAAAAACCATTAACATGGAATGTAGCGACACTATCCTCCACAGTACATCCTCTCCCCAACAGCCGCCGTGCGGGGGGCAAGGGGTTTTAGCGGGTGGCGTCATCTGGCGCCCGCGAGCGTCCCTACTAAGTGAACGCGCTGGCGAAGAATAATAATAATAATAAAAAACATGATTTATTGCTCCGTTCTAGCAATCGGTAGAACACGAAAGTAAAACGTGTGCTAACAGACGTAGTTTAATGTTTACTTTACATTGATACAAGTGAGCTTGCGCAGTGTATATTGGTGTTTCACAGCTATAGCACTGCTTAACGGGGATGCATCCATGTTAAACGCTTTATCGTACATTTTCATTCCGACAACTAACGTCAATCATATAAAATCAGACATAACATAACTTCGTGGACATAGAAGCTTCAGCGGGGTAGCTGTAATAGTTGACGATGAGCGCGGAACAAACAAACAAAAAAAAAAAAAGAAACCGGCGTCCCGCACTGTGTTTGACTCAATTTAAACTCGACTGCTCCGCCAAAGTTCTAAACATTCGACGTAATTTTTTCGAGGTGATGAATGCAGGCAGCCACTGGGTGAAATCGGGAATGAATGAAATGAACTTTATTTGTACTAGGCTCTTTGTACTTCAGCCCTAAGGTGGGTGGCCTCCTCAGTCCAGGTAGCCATGGCTCACTGCCGCCGCTCGAGTCCATTTCACCAATAGTAGCTGGTTGTCAGGGTCCTTCGTCACCAGCAAAGCCTCCCGCTCGGAAAATCGGAAAAGTTCGTTTATTTCTCTTGTTAGATACAAGGAACCTACAATTGTTTGTTAGAATAACCTTTAGTTGCATGTCATTGGTTCCTACATTTCTACAACTCTGGGTGACCTCGTGTGTTGTCTGATGCGTGTTGATTCTAATAAGCAATATTTGTCAGATTACGTATCAAGTATTCATACTGATGGAATATATCGTGATAAAAGTGATCGTAAAAAGTATTGAATATGACATTGCAGTGTTTCATGGTACGTTAAAGGAGCAGTGGCATCAACTTGACGTATGTGGCGTTTTTTGCATCAACGCGTATTTATGGATCTCTTAGTAAAGATTCGGTACTACTAAAGGAACACAGGGACGAAATAATGTATGTAATATCCATCAGTATGACCACTATTGAACCTAACTCAAAACAAGTGCAAAGCCCGTTAATTTTCAGCGCTGCCAGAACTGCCAAGTGGTAAATCCCCGCGATCACTGTCCCATCTGACCACGTGGTCAGATGAAATGGTGACGCGAGTTTCAGTTGACATTTCGTCCGCTCTGTAGACACGTGTATAGGCATGTCTTCGCCATCCACGTTATCGTCACCGCCGTCATCAGCGTACACAAGAGTCGATAAAAACACTGAGGAATATGGAATCGCGGCGATTCGTTTTCAATTCGATCCTCTTCTGAGCAGTGATTCTGAAATTGACGCCGGACCGAGCAGTGGCGAGGCAGCTGGAGACGTACGCTTGGGCCACGCTGGCTGGTAAGACATATGAACGCTGCATGCACGTGGTTCGTGTTCGCGATGACTGTAGCTTCAAACAATCACTAACGTGCTCATGACTCATATCCCGAAGGAGCAAAACAAAAAGGCGGGATTCACATGAACGCGCCGCACGAACTAAGCAAACCAAAGCAAGTGAAGCAATTGCTAGGCACCCAGACAGTACTATACATGTACAAACTGTGATGACAACACGAAAATGGTCGACGTCATTACTGCTCGCTCATCGTCACTCAGAGCATGAGTCATGGCCTAGGAGCTTACTGAACGCGTCAAGATACTGTCGATGTCGCGTGGTTGGGAACACGCCGTTGGACGCTCTTTGCGCTTGAAATAGAAGACATGTACGCAACGGACGCCATTCCTACATCGATAAAATACTTTATGCATATCAAGTTATCGAATGAAAGCCCCAACCTCGAGTTTGAAATTTGGTGTCACTGCTCCTTTAAAAACCTTTGTTACCAAAGCATATTTAGTAGGAGATTGCAGCCATTGGGAGTTTTTAACGCAGGTTGTAAGCCACCGGTACCTTGAAGGAGTCACGGAATTCGCTGCCATCAACATCACAGCGTTCCGGTTCCAGAACACCGAAGAATTGACGCAAGCCTACAACTACAAAACAACGGTAAATATTGGCTGTTCGGCCATGAGGTTTCGAAAAAATCAAAACAGGTGATTTTTGTCATCCTATTGATCCCCGGTGATAAATTTATAGTCAAGAGGTTGCCCGCTATTAAGAGCCCCGATGTCGGTGATCAACTGTGGGCCGTCCAGAGGGTCCACGATACGGAGGTTGGACCTGGTCTAGCAGTACGAACGTGGGAGTGGCCCGCTGCACGTTTAGTCGTGCACTTCAGGACTAGCAATAAAGTTTCATATCCATCACAGCACATAATAACGTGTCTATGATAAAAAAAATGTACGATATAGATTGACTGAATCGTGCAACCAATATGTGCTTGTACTTTGCAATAACATCAGGACAAAGTAACTCCCGAAAAACGGAATTGATAGCGTGTACGTGATGTCATGAACGCACAACCAACATGGCGGCTTAAATAACGTCAAGGCACGCGCTGATTAAACCTAACAGTGTCCGTGTGATCACTGCAACGTTATTGGGCATCTGTGCTCGAACAACAAAACCACCGTGGGATATGTACTCATAGCCCTAACTTGACATTACAAAGTTCGCGTCTCATAATGTTCATACGTGGCTGTGACGTGAGTGCAAGCCATTCATAGAGGACACTTCGTAGAGCCACGGAGTCAGCTTAAGATTTTAAGTTATTCCATAATCTTTACTTGACGAGGTGACTAACAGGACGGGCAAGCATCCTGCTGTCGAATTTCTCGTGCAAATAGCGATACCTAGCATATCGGTTCGCATGGCTATTGCATTTCGGTAGTGTCGAGTTCGGAAACAAAGGTTAAGGACAAGAAATGTGCTTAACTCGTCTACATGTAATTATGTTATATTTTTGTTTATTTAACGCGGAGTAATAAAGTCCCAAACTCACCCGCGCATTTCGGCACATTCTTGCAGGCTGAAGAAGCAGTGATCGCGGACTCGGCGCAGCTGCTGATCGGCGCCTATCGCAGTCTGCGGGAGGAGCCCCCCGCTCGCAACGGGGACCTCTTCGAGGACCGCGTGCGCGTGGCGCCCTCTTTTGGTGCCACGTCCAAGTGCGGTCGCATCGCCTACCTCACCCGCGAACAGGGACGGGTGGTCGACTCGTACCTCAAGGGCGTAAGTCACCTAGTGTACCTCAAAAGTGCACGCATCTCGCAGCTCTCATAAAACCATCGTCACTTTTGGTGCCGTAATTGTCCGCCGCTTTTAGGCGTCTCTGACCGCTATTACACAAAATAAAAATACATTAAGGAGAAAATGACATTCGAACCCGAACCCTCTGCACGGCAGCTCAATTTTCCACCACAGAACCGCAGATTTTAGATTTCTTTTCTTGTTCACCGAGCACCATTGGTGCTTAAAAACCTTTGGCAAAAAAACCTATGCATGCTTTATGTCGCGCGGAGAATCACGTTACCTTGTGCAATAGACCATTTTAGAAGAGGGAAAATTGGGGGACCCTTAAGCTTTGCATTGAAGAGCTGAACGCGATAGCGAAATGTGGCTCCCAGTGCGTCCTTCAACGGCGAAGTCCGTACTTAATGATATGTTTTGTCACACACACACACACACACACACACACACACACACACACACACACACACACACACACACACACACACACACACACACACGCACACGCGCACACGCGCACACGCACACACGCGCACACGCGCACACGCGCACACGCGCACACGCGCACACGCGCACACGCACACACGCACACACACACACACACACACACACACACACACACACACACACACACACACACGCACACAGTAGATTGTAAATGGACAACTATGTCAATCTAGCGGAAATCATATCATGCCTGGAAAGGCATGAGTTGTTTTCCGATAGTTTGACATAGTTGTCCATTTTTAGAGTTGTTTGAAAATTCCTGTGTGTTTTTAGCGGCGATTGCTCCACAATCCCGGCCTCTTTCGACGTAGTTTGATGTGCGCCTACAAATCGCCGAATGGGCTCGTTTTCGTCGTGACATCTTTCGAACGAAATGCGTTAAGGAGACTCCTTTCACTACATGGCATTTATGTAGTGTTTTTCCCCGAAGCAGCTGCAAGTAACATCGTGGCTTTGTGGTAGGACATCTGCTTGCCACGTGAACGGCCCGGGTGGGATGCTCAGTGAGACCGAAAATTTGATTCTTTATTTCATTTGCTTCTTTCTCGATTTTTCGCTCACGGACGATTTTTTCGCCCAGAACCAGTGGTGCCGACGCCGACAGCGGAAATACTGCTCGAGAAGCCTTGAGACAGGGGGAGGAGATAATTTTGTTAAGATTACCCCCAATCCGTGAACAGTACAGTTTATTCTGGACCCTACGTTGCCGCTTGGGATAACGGTTGAATGTTCGATGGCAAGTGTATAAATGCCTACACGCTTCGCCGCTTGTCAGTTGATCCACGGCCGACGCTTATGTCGCCACTATCGGTGCATGTGTCTTCCTGCAACCTTACTTTCCTTTTTCGAGGCCACAAGTTCGGCTGAATAAGCATTTTAGTCTTCAACCTACTGTATGCTCCCTTTCGTCGACATCACGACCCCGAGACAATAAATTATGTGATATCGCAGTGATATTGCGTGGTACAAGCGATCGAGCGTCAGGACTTTGATTATCATGATGACTTCGTGGGTTAAAGCCGTCCGCCCGTCACAAAAGGTTAACACGTTACTGCGCGTATTCCCTTAAAAGTTCGAGAACATTTCACGTGAACGTGAAATGTTCTCGAACATTTCACGTTCGAGAACATTTCACGTGCCAAAGGCCTGTGGTTTAAAGCGTGCTACCCATTACAACGAATGCTGCCATTAGAGACACAAGCTACTACTTGCAACTTTATCGACTACGAACATAATATCGCTAACGTTAAGAGTCCCCCATTTTTTCCACATTTTCTCCTTCAGTCTTTTTTAGAAGTTCAAGGTTTGAGTTAGGATCACTCATTCATTTCGACACTTTGGCTAATGCATCACGAAGGGGACCATGGTGAAACGGGCGGCTGTGGCTTTGAGCCCCGGCTTCGCTATGCATCAGGGATTTTGGCAGCTCCTTACGGCAACCACGCCGAGTCACGCACGCCACACATGCCATGCACTGAGTGGAAGACTCTGCACGTTCTTGGTAGTGTAAATATCCTCTAACACAAGAAACTGCACGAAATACTGGACGCTGCAGCTTATCGGTTGTAACATCGGCGGGTGTTTGAAACAGCCACTTGTTGCTCAATTCACACTATTTGACGCCTGGCCTACGCTTCTGCCACGTTAAGGAGACTTCTTCCACTGCATGCATGGCACTCGCGTAGTGTTTCACCTTACCGGTCAGGTGATCGCAAGCAGTGGAGTTGCGTCATATCATGCGATCTTGTCATCTGGTGTTTCAGCAGTATTGCCAGCGTGCGAAATAGAGCTTGTTTAAACCCTGAGATGCTGCTATCTCCTTTGTGCACCCAACGCCTTTTTATTTATTTCAATGCCAGTGTAAATGTGCTCTTTTCAACGGTAGTCGTCGGTCAGCCTTAGTTCAGGGAGTGGTCGTGACGCACATGATGGCTGGCGCTGCTTGCGTCACACGTTCGTCCGAGCTTTATTCCCCGGTGTTTCCCTCTCCAATGTCACACGTCTGTCAGCTCTGCTGCTTCGTGCTCCTTCTTTGTGGCTAGAAGGGATACCGCCACCGCGTCAAAGCACAACGCATGCGGTGGCGTTGAAATGACGCTTCCTCAGTGGTTGCTCGCATATAGCGCCGCGAACGGTGACAAGCTATCTCAGAGCACCACGTCTTTTACAGAGCCAGCGTGATGGCCGATATTGAGAACATGAGGAATCCATGCTGCCGCCCCACGGATCTGTAAACTACATAACAAAAAAATTACTTCACATGATTTCTGTCGTGAGGAACGGCATAAGGGGTTCTATACCCCATGACAGCAAAGCGCGCGCCAAGCAAAGGCGATGCGCGAGAGCAGGAAGGGCTAGAGAAGAGCGTAGTGAAAGGCTGGATCGGCGCATCAGGCTGGCATTGATAAAATAGAGGAGGCGTTAATCAACCTATACCCCTTGACGAGTGGCGAAAGCTAGGACGGCAATGACGACGCAAGCCGTGTCTGCGACGCCACCAGTAGTTCACCCGGCTTAGCATTCCCTTGCTGATGGCTTCTTGTACCCGCGCGTCGGTGATTTTGTTTGAAAGCTGGGGAAGCTTCAGTTTGGCCTCGACACTGATTCTACTGAAAAAAAAAAAACATTTGCAGATCCCACGTACTGTGGGAAATCAATAAAAATCATTAAAATCACTAAAATCATTAAAATCAACACAAAGTTTCGAGACGAACGTAAATGCTTCCATGCCATCATTATCATGTTTGGATATGCAATATACTTTTGTAGTCTACTCACACCACGCGATATCAAATTTAATATCACATAACGGGACATGTGGAGCTAGCGAAATGACCGCTAGCGTGCTATGAGCATAGCATGTAGTCATCTTTTACATGACACGCATATCAAGGTTATCATGTTTGTACGTGTTACTTACCTTCGTCGTCTATTCACTTCACGTAATACCAAATTTGGTATATGTGAAGCTAGCGAAACGACCGCGAGCGCACTATGAGCGTGGTGTGTAGCATGACAAGTCATAACATAAAAGTCATGACATACATGCCATGATTTCCACGTTAGGGTCTGTCACTGATGTGTGCTATGGAGTCATGTCATATACCATACCAGTTTTGCAAAATTTTACATAGTGATGAATGCGCGGAAGGTGCAGCACAGTCACAGCGAAAGCTAGAAGAGCAGCCTTTCAAAGCCTTTTCTAAACACTGGGTAACTGATACAAGCACACGTGCTGGGTACCCACTATGCCAATAATAATCAAATTTGTTGGGTATAGGCCGGCATTCAGTTGTTGTTGTTGTTGTTGCCCCTTCGCACTGGCACATACCCACTATGGGGGATTGGCCATGAAATCTAGAAGTATCCTAAATGATATATATTAAAAGGTTTATCCTTAATCAAAAAACTAATGATGTAATAGAAAATAATCATTAACTAAAAAGGAATATTAAACTAAACAAATAATTAAAGATTGAATCAAGAAGAGAAAAGGTGAGGTAATACTACAGTGGAAGACAGAAATTTTGAGTAGACCAGACAATCGAGCTTATCTCACCCGGTCACAATCAAATGAATATGCAAATTTCATTCAAAATTAGACAAGTGTCGTCAGAAATATATTTAAGCAGGCATTATTATGACATGCGCTTTGATTCTCGAATGAAATTGCATACAGCATCGAATACGCTCCTGTGGCAATGTCCCAAGCTAAAGGCACCGAAACTTAGAACATTATCTGCAGTTAAATTTAAACCTACTGCTTGAAAAGGAACAATTAAAAGTCTTTTCCTAATTAATGAATAGTTTTTACATGTTATAAAGTAATGCTCTATTGTTTCCGTTTCTTCACAGAATGGACACAGGGGGGATATCGCCAGACCAGCTCTGTGCAAGTAAAAGTTTAATGGAGGGACACGGCATCGAAATTTGGTTAAAATAACTGCTAACTTTTTAGATTGACTCCACTGAGGTTTCCAGGGGTATGTTAGGTGCTGATAGTCCGTATGTTTAGTAATATTTTCCATAATATCCGTATAAATAGCCCATTTTCTATATCTGATCGACACTATGTGTTCCGATTCTGGTAGTACCGAGATCACAGGGCCATCAAGTGTGGCTCGAGATAGTGAATCGGCTATTACATTCAACCGTATGCCACAGTGTCCCGGGACCCAGACTAACTTCAGGAACTTCACATGAGGTGGAACTAATGTTTGTAATGTCGCTAGAGCTCTTGATTGTTCTGAAGCTGTGAGAGTAGTACACAGCGAAAGAGAATCAGTAATTATCATTGCACTCTCTTCGTTTGAAGGAAGTTTTCGTAGCGCTAAAATAATAGCCAGGAGCTCAGCTTCGAAAACCGGAGTGAAGTCTGGTAGTCTTACCGAGAATGACCAACCGAGGTAATCTGAGACGATTCCTACTGCTGCCTTTTCTTTATTCACAGAAGCGTCTGTGGCTATTATGTTCTTTATTTCCGCATGAGCTATGTAGTCTTCTAACCTGTCATTTAAGTAACTCGAAGATTGAAACTTAGATAGTGGGGGAAAAATTTCATCACATTCTATCGTAATATTGTGATTTAATGCTTTGGTTCCAATTACCGATCTGATATCCACCTTTATGCTTTCAAGTTTCTTTTGTACAAAAATAATCTGGGGAGTACGAAAGCGTGGCCAGTGAGCGAGGAAGAAGGCGTCGGGGTCACTAATAAAGGCATATGCAGACCGTCTCGCTGATAAGCCATAAAATTTCAAGTATGTTTGTACTGTTAAGATACGGAATCGGCAAAAAATAGTTGGTATGCGAGCTTCCTGATATAGTACATTAATAGCGACATACCTGGGGAGTCGCAAACACAACCGTAACGCTTCTCGCTCTAATAGAACTAACGGTTTAATTTTGTACGTAGGGCCACCCGAAAATAATATACACCCAAATTCGAGTATTGGGCGCATGTACATTTTATATATCATTAATAAGGTGTGTCTACGTAACCCATATTTTCTGTTGCTCAACCTTCGCAATAAACCTGAAGCTCGTTGTGCCTTTGCCACGATATAGTCTATGTGAGGGCTCCAGTTAAGTTTCTCGTTATAAATAATGCCCAAATATTTGATAGACTCTACTTGTGGAATCGGTTCCTGATTATAAAGTACTGAAATTTGAATAGAATCTGCTATAGGGAACACCAGGAGCGCACTTTTACTGATGTTTAGAGACAATGAAATTGAATGCAGCCAAATTTCAAGAGAATACATGTACTTTTGCAATTTTTGATGCAAAGAATAAATGTCACTGTCTGCAACGAAAAATGCAATGTCGTCTGCATAAATGTAGACAGTGATATCTCGTTCAATGGGAATTGAGCTCATCAACACATTGAATAACAGCGGAGATAGGACCGCCCCTTGAGGTACTCCACGTTGCTGTTTGAATTTAGATGAGTGACATCCATCCTTTGCACAATAAATTCTCTCGATTTTAGAAACTCTGCTACCCAATCAACAATATATCGCGGAAAGTCACATTCGTGTAAAGAATTCAATAAAATTGAGTGCTCAACGCTATCATAAGCTTTAGCTATGTCTAGTGTTACTAGTACCGCGTATTGTCGTCTTTTTCGGGCAAGCTGTATTCGGCTCTCTAAGTCGGCATGAGCACACCAAATTGAGCATTCGCTACGAAAACCTATTTGAAACGGTTTCAATATTAGCTTGTCAGCCATCCAAACTTTTAATCTATTATTGAGAACTCTCTCTATAATTTTGATCAGGTGAGATGTTAGAGAGATTGGTCTGATGTTGTCAATGTTAAAACCTGACCCTTGTTTTTTTAATATGGGAATCACTCTAGCTATTTTCCAGTCATGTGGTATCCAGGCATTGCTTAAGGAATAGTTTATAAGGTTGAGGACGTCGCCGGGTGATATCTGGAATAAAATTTTAATCATAGGAACTGTTATACCGTCAGGACCAGGAGCCGAAGAGGGTAAGTTTCTAATTACGCTTGACATTTCGGACAATGTCACTTTTTCGTAGTCAGTCTTTATAGAGGACTTTTGCCAGTTGATTGTCAAAGTCGACGAAAATCTGTTAGCTAAACCTCTTCCGATTGCCTCTAACGAATTAGTCATTTCTTCCGTCGATAACCTGTCATAATCAGAGTTAGCTAGAGACGGCAGAATTTTGCGCGATCTCATATATCGGAATAACGCTTTCTTATTTCTAGGTTTGGAAAGAAAGTCGAAATGTTTTTTGTCATAGTCTTCTTTAGCTTTAGCCACGGTGCGCTTAAATGTAGCAGCAATAAACTTGTAATCTGCCCAATTTTTGGGGGACTGATTATGAATTAGCTGCTTCCAAGCCGCTTGTCGTCGTCTATTGTCGCCGGCATTCACTATGTTATTGTTCGTCGTTCTTCTGAGAAGCATGGTATCCGCTATAAACACTTGCAGGGAATTTTGTGCCAATTGTTCAGGTAGTATAGCTGACAACGATGAGGAATTACGCCTGAAGTGGGCGTGCGCCGCAGTTAAGAGGTGATCAAGAGCAAGCTTTTGTAGTGTGTTGCAGCATTCGACGACCCACTCGTTACGCTGTGCGCATTCTGTGACGCCTGGTTGTTCTTTTGCTGTTCTAAAACGCTTTATTACTCACAAAAACGCAATTCCTTTGGATACATCAAGCCTGCCTCAGGCAAGTTTGTGAAGACCAGCGTGGTTGAGTGGTAGAATAGTCTGATACGCAGCGGACCCGTGTTCGAGCCCCACTGTGTCTTTGGTGTTTCGTATTTAGTGAGATTTTTTTTTTTCATATTTGGTGCGATAGTGTTTACGGACACCGGCGTTGGTGGCGGCGGACAAATACGGCGCCGCGCGGGACCCGTGTTCTGATGTCAGAACAGCTTTCGCTGTACGAAAATTCCAAGAGACTTCAAGTGCTCTAGCTTGCATCCAGTTGCAGTGTAATGAACGCATGTTTGATAAGGAACATTCTAGTGAGCAGGAGCTACATAACAGCTCAAGATTTTCTTTTCATCTTTTCTGTGCTTTCCAGGTTGTATTTGATGGAAAGACGGGAAGAGTGGAATTCAACGAAAGAGGTTGCCGCGTCAATTTCACGGTTGATGTGATTCAAGTCAACGGAAAAAACCAGTGGCTTAAGGTGAGCTGTACCACTCCAAAAATTTTCTCACGCGCAGCACAGAATGAGCCGTTGCAGGAAATCTGGCTCATAATTCACCAAGCTGTTTCGTAATTGCGCACTCTCATTAGCCAGCTAGCTTCATTCATTATATGTCCCACATAGTGATTCGCTGAATTTTCTTCCAAAAAAAAATTATCGCAAGATGTTTTTGTAAATAGGGGGCCTCGGAAGAAAAAAAAAAAAAAACCTTGCTCAGAAACAACCTCTGCTGAATGGTAGCTGAAGTGAACGATACGATATACACTGAAACCCATATATATATATCAAACTCTCCCAATAGTGAAACGGGAATTAGTAACATATGTCCTATAACCCGATAAAAAAAATTAATAGTATACTGCATTTCTCATAAAAATTTTGATACACAGGTTGGCTTCACAGCACTGTTTACGATCATACAAAGAGCCAGATTCACATCAGAGGGGGTCGGGGGATTTAGTTTACAGTGATGCTGTACAATGCCTATTTTGGATGACAGCCTCTGCGGACAAAACAACGCGTAGAAAACCAATTTTCGGTCATGTTTCGCAGCCACCGGTGCCTGTTTCACAGATGTCGAGGTATTCGGCATTGGCACTTCTCAATAGTAGCTGTGGCCCGGAGCATAATATTTTTTTGGCGTGTGTATGAACACATAAAAACGCAAGCATGAAAATACATAAAGGACTGTTTATGCCCCCTACACCTTATTAGAGCTGCGCTATTCAAAAAAGTAATAAAAAATTGTCGCTACACCTCTGTCTGCCCTATGTAATGCAAGCAGTACCCCGTTCTAGAAAAAAAAATGGCCCCGTATCTGCATATTTCACCGCAAGAGTAACGCAAGACGATCTTGCGAAGACGCAGAAGTATCGTCCAAAGACGCTACTCTTTTGTCTGCAGCGAGTAAATGAAAGGTTTAATATATGTTCTGCGCGAGAAAATCCCCAATTGGGATTGTGGAGGTGCTGCGTGAGACATGAGCGCCATCTGGAAGAACTATTAAAAACGAAAGGATGGCCTCCAATATAACGAGCGCGCGGCGTGAGCGAGCAACTTCGGACGCCATAACTTGTAGAACGCGAAGCAGCAGGTAGGTGCCAGCATCGTGTAATCTTAGAAAAGCGCAGGAAACATGCGCCTTTTCGCGCATAGCGTTGCATGTCAGCGTAGCGTAATAACGCTACGTTCCTTAGAACTACTTACGTGTGCCTTCTAAATTATAAAAACAAACATGCCACAGAGATTAACGTGTTGAGGTTGCACCTCAGATACGCCCATGATTTCCTTTTAATTGACAATACGCACCAAGTATGAACGCCGAAAACTAATCATTATTGATGAGCGCTGCGGATGTGGTTGAATTTTTGCCGTTTCGTGTGACACACACACAAGTCGAACAACGTAGAGACAGTCTCGAGAGACAGACAGACCAAAACGTTTGCGTCGAAGTATCCCAAGGGACGCTCATCATCATCAGCCGGACTACGCCCACTGCAGGGCAAGAACATCTCCCATGATCCGCCAATCAACCTAATCTTGTGCTTTCCGTTGCCACGTTATTTCCGCGAACTTTTAGAGCTCATCGGCCCACCTATCTTTCTGTCTTTCCTTCGTACGTTTGCCTTCTCTGGATATCCAGTAAGCCACCCTTAATGACCAGCGATTATCCTGCCTACGTGCCCGGGCCGTGTCAATTTCTTTTTCGTGATTTTAACTATGATGTCCTTTAACCCCGGTTTGTTCCCTGGTCCACTCTGCTCTTTTCTTGTCTCTGAAGGTTACACCTATCAGTTTTTTTCATCGCTCGCTGGTCGTCCTCAATTTAAGCTGAACCTTCTTTGTGAACCTCCAAGTTTCGGCTCCGTAGGTAAGTACTGGCAAGATGCAGCTGTTATATACTTTCGTCTTAAGGATTAGTGGCAGGATTGCCATTCATGATTTGAGAATGCTTGCTGAATGTGATCTACCCCATCTCAGTTATTCTTCTAGTTATTTCACTCCCATGGTTCGGCTCCGCAGTTACTACCGGTCCTAAGCAGACATTATCCTTTAGAACTTCCAGCGTTTCTCCATCTATCGCAAAGTGCTGTTTTCTTCCGAGACTGTTGTTCATTTCTTTAGTTTTGTGCATATTTATTTTCAGACCTACTTTTTCTGCTTTCCATGTCCAGTTCTGTAGCTGTAATTCTCCCCTGGGTTACTCATCAAGGCAATGTCATCAGCAAATCGCTGGTTACTAAGATACTCTCTATTAACTCTTATCCCTAACTCTTCCCAATCTATGGTCCTGAAAGCCTCATGTAAACACGTGGTGAATAGCATTGGAGAGATCGTATCTTCCTGCCTTACACCTTTCTTTATTGGGATTTTGTCGCTTTCTTTATGGAGAACGATGGTGGCTATGGATGCACTGTAGAGTTTTCCCCAGTATGTTTATGTAGGGTTTTCCGCGCATTTCTCTATTACCTGATTGATAGGATGAATATTATCTATTGTGGAGTAGCTTGCACGATATCCCCTTTAGTTAATTGAACTCTCATGTCGTCTTAGTTCTATTAGCTATTAATTTTGTAAATAGTTTGTAGAGAATAGACAGCAAGCTGATCATCCTTTAATTTTTCAGTTGTTTCCATCTCTTTTCTTGTGATTAACATTATGTCAGCGTTCTTCCGAGATTCTGGTACCCTTTCCGTCAAGGGACACTCCGTATATAAGGTGGCCAGTTTTTCTAGCACAATTTCTCCACCATCTTTCTGGAGATACGCTGTTACTTTATCCTCAGCAGCGACTTTGCCTCTTTGCTTTTCTTCTAGGGCTTCCCTTGCTCCCCCTGTCGTTACTGGTAGGATGTCAACTTCTTCTGGGTTATTATTGCTTCTCACGATACCATCCCGCTTATTTCGGCTTCTGTACAGCTTTTTGTCAAACTCCTCCGCCATCTCAACTAACCTATTCATATTGGTAACGACATATCCTTCCTTGTCCCTCAAATCATATATCCAATTTTTCCCTATGCACAAGTTTGTCTTCGGAGCTTTAAGGCTTCTGCTGCTTTTTTACAGCCTGCTCAATTCTCTCTATATTAAAACTTCTGATGTCGGCAACCTTACGCCTATTGATAAACTTCGAAAGCTCCAGTAGCTCTATATTGTTGGTTGCATTTGAGGCTTTCATAGTTTATCGTCTCTTAGTAAGATTTTTCGTCCCCTGAGATGATTTCCCAGTGCCCTGTCAAGTAACTGTACCTCCGACTTCCATTGCATATTATGTGATTTAAGATTATCGTTCTTTGCGTCAATCCTAATGTTTATGTCAATGCTAACGCTAACGTAAGGAACACTATCGTCTTAAGAAAAATGTGCTCTGTGATTTGTGCCGAACTGTAAGACACAGATCAATGTTTTAGAAAGGCAGCTCAACCTTCACAATTGTAGCAAGCTTCCATGGCCCAGACAGCAAAAACTTGACGCCAGCACGCAGTTCAAGGTTCCTCAAACTGTGGGATTATTTATTCCCGTGAGCCTCGCCGCGGTGGTCTAGTGGCTGCTGACCCGCAGGTCGCGGGTTCGATTCCCGGCTGTGGCGGCTGCATTTCCGATGGAGGCGGAAATGTTGTAGGCCCGTGTGCTCAGATTTGGGCGCACGTTAAAGAACACCAGGTGGTCGAAATTTCCGGAGCCCTCCACTACGGCGTCTCTCATAATCATATGGTTGTTTTGGGACGTTAAACCCCACAAATCATATTCATTCCCGTGAAGGCTTTCTTCTACAGATGATTCCAATACTTACGCACGGTACATGAGAGATATCGCAAAAGTCATTTTTATGAACACTCAGTGCTCAGAAATGTATCGTAAAGGCGGCTTGTTGGCTCATACGATCCAACATGCGTGCTACACCAGCCGCTAGTCCGAAAGCCTGGTATCTTTGGCCTTTTCAGAGACGAAAAAGATTTTAAAACACAAAAACGAGACCGAAATACGCCCTACAGAGTAGCTCGTACATTCCAAGGAACCTTCCTACGTGTTAACAGCAGTATGAAGAGCAGATTTATCTAAAATGTTTAGAATGTTGTCAGCATACCGAGATACTTTGATGACCTCCAGTTCGTCTTCAAGTTCTGCGTACCTTTCTGCGCAGTGTATTCTGCTTTGCGTCGACTTGACATCGTGCTCAAACAATCTGCCCTTATGAGTTTCTTTTTTGTTTCGCAGATTGGGACTTGGTCGAGCCGTGGCTTTATGTCAGCCGGACGTCAAGACAGAGTGAACTCGAAAGAGGACAATGACTACGTGCACAGGGTTGCTGTCACCCTGGTGAGAGCACCGAGTAATTCAGCAATTAATCAAAGTTGTTGGTACAGTAAGGCACTTAGTAGCTATTAATCAAGCAAACCAACCAACCAACAAACGAAATAAATAAATTAATAAATGTAAAATACAGTCCCTAGCCCTACATGAGCACCTTGCATACACAATACATGACTTTTTTTTATTTCAAACTGGCGCCACCATTTAATAGCATTTATTCACATGTATTTCAAACTAATTCACTGCTCATTCCCTTTAGCTCAGCTAAATGTCACTTGAACCAGCTTTTTCGCTAGTTAAGCTTGATGTAATGAAAGATCATGGCCTACTAAGTAATGCTGGATCACTTAGGAAACAAAGCGTCGCTGTTAACTTTTCTACGGCTTTCGGCTGTGGATACATTCTCAGAAATCTTCCTGTAAGAAATTCTCTGTGCCGACTTCTTCATCTGAGGAGTTATTTCAGCGATTGATTGCCAGAAACCTCATAATACGAATAATGCAGATAACCCCATTTTTGGCGGGAAATGGAAAAAAATGGTGAAATATCTTGCAGAAAATGATTTTCTTGCTTTTCTCGCAATGAACAAAAATTGGCAATTACATTTTAATGGATATGAGGTGGTCACCTGAGGCGACCCCCCATGCAGTAATGGTCACTTTCGGTCAAAGTATGGCTCTTTATTGCTATAGGGCTTAGCGTAAGCTACTCATACAATATGCATTCCTGGGTTATCGATATAGCAAAAACAGCATATACTTATTTATTTAAAAAATATCCTCGGGTTCACCGTCTAGCCTGCTTTGTGGACGAAGGCAGCCGGAAGAAAGCAATCGTAAAATGTCACATTGACGCCCAAAAGAAGTAGCGCCATCTCTGTCTGATTGCCAAAAGCTTTAAAATACGCCATTTAAGATCCTACACGCAAGGTTGATGTCTTTTAAGCGGAAAAAATGAAGTAAATGTGGTTACCAGGGGTGACCACCTTAGTGGAAAGAGTTAAGAGTTCATCAACCTTCTTTCTGTACCTTGGTGATTGTACAGGCAAGACAACCACAGTTTTTTGTAGTAAGAATGGTAGAATCACGCAGACACTGAATACACATTTTAGTGAACACAAGACCTCCCCCCACCCCTAGCGGTGGCATTAGCTGAGAGAAGCCACGGTTGCATTAACAACATCGTTCGAGAGTACAAAAATATTCAACTAAGACATGAATATTGGACCTCAACGTACCTTATCTACCGTGGTGTCTTGTAGCCACCAAGATAGACCTTTTATTTATGGAGTGATTTCGCGATCGAGGCATTTTGCGCTGGAAGCACAGCAACTGACCTTATGCCAGATAACCTGGGATATAGAAGTTTGTCTTGTCAAACAGGATCATCCACAGCTGCCTTTGTCACTTTAAAATGAGACCAAATCAGTGCATCTAAATTGTCCTTCGGGACATCGTCAACTGTAGCAGAACTGTGCAAGTTCACTGTGTCACGATAGAATCCATTAACACAAGAAAATAAAGTAGTCATCTTATGTGATTCCCTTACGTGAGTCCTTCGTGACATCGTCAATTGTAGCAGAGTTGTTCAAGAAATTGGCTGTGTTACGATACAACAATTCACTAACACAAGAAAAAAGAGGGTCATCTTATGGAATTAACTGGCAGATTTATTGTAACTAATTATTGACAGGAAAATGTGGCTTTAAACCACGAAGTACTGACACAGCTGCAAAGCAGGTGCAAAGAAACACACAATATTATTCTAGAGGATACCTGGCTACTGCAATATTCCTGGTAATTTAACAGCGGGTGGAGCCGCCAGATAAGCACAGCATAAAAAGGACGCACCGGATATACCTTCGATCGACACAAAGGGAATTACGGCAAAACCTGCGACAAATGTCAACTCATGGTTGCATAATGAGGCCTTTTCTGCATTAACCTTACTCTTGAATATAGGGATAACATTAAACTTAAATAAAAGCTGGGCCCTTGAAACGCTGTTGCACAGCCTCCGCCTGCATGAGTGCCGCTCACATAAAATACTTCTTATTCAAAATTTGACAAGCAAGTCTAGAATGCGCACGTGGACGCCTGAATAAAGATGTACTGCATCTCTTATAACTCGTCCATACTATCAGGGCGAAAGACTACACAAAAAAGCGAGATTCAGCGTCACTAAAACGTAGTTCTTTCAGCCAAAGACAAAACCTCGGGGGTAACAAATGCCGTGAAAAAACAATTAGCAGTCAACAAGTTCCTAGAAGAGAGATCTAAAAGCATGGATCTTAGGGTTATTTTAAGCCTGTAATTTCACTTTACTATGTGGCGCTTTGTGTTGCGTCACGTGCGAACTCACTCATTCTGTGTCCCTATTAGCGCGCGCACATTGCCAATTTCAGTGCTCTGACGCTGTGTAGTGTTATTTTCAGTGTATGCGGTGTTCTGTGACGAAATTAGAGTGTTGTGTGTCGGGACTACATTTTGTGTGTCTTTTTCGTGTTGCTGTGTGAATGGACATCACATAGCAACACATGTGATATAGCATAGCAGCTCTGCCTAGAGGCTTTTTAGTTGCAAAGTATCTTTTGGTCGAGCTCAATCCGGGTTGCGGCATCACCACCCTTCGGCGCATGCGCGTCTCCTCCCTTTCTCTCTTTTCTAGGGATTCCTCCCTGCAATGTTTACACCACCATTGCGCATGTGCGACCTCTCCTCTGCTGTGCTCCCTCGCTCATTAAACTCATAACGTAGCGAAAAAAAAAAAAACGACACGATGAACACAAAGAATGTCTTAGGCTTTTAATCCATGGTGTCGTTTTTTGCGCTTCATTTAGAATTTATGCAGAGCCAACTAGCCCCGGAATAATTCCTCTGCTCCCTCCCTCTCACCTCGCAACGCCAACGCAGGCAGTGGTGACTGGTCTGCTGGTCTACGCTTCATCCCCCGCTAATCTAGGCACCCTCCCAGCGGCACTTACCCCCAACTGCGCTTGCGCGTCGCCTCTTTCTCCGTGGTTGTGATTTTCCTCTCTCGTGTCGCAATGTCGATGGTGGCATCGTCTGTTGGTCTATGTTGGCTCCCCTTTTCTCTCTTCCGGCATCCATCCCCGCCACACTTACGCAACCATTGCGCATGCGCGCCCCGCCCTTTCCCGCTTCGCAACGCCGACACGGGCAGCGTCTACTAGTCTACGCTCGCTCCCCTCTCTCTCGTCTCCAGAAAGCCTTCACGCGGCGTTTACACCCCCGTTGCCCATACGCCCCCTCCCTCTTCAACGCCCCCTCCTTTCTCGCTTTGCAACGCCGTAGCAGGCAGCATCTGCTAGCGAGTTTCTTGATTTAAAAAGCCGACGGGTCGTGCTGCACAACCGTTCACGGGCCATTCCGCATATCACGGCACTGGATTTTGTACTCCAAGGTTGTGCCGGTACGGGATTTTTCCTGTGCGTTGTTGAATGAAAAAATTCGCAGCATGCGTGGTAACTACTAGCAGGCTGTGGGTCCTTGTGTCTAATCAGAGTCTTCTGTCTCCCATTTCCCATTAGCGGCGATTGGCATGCTCCAGTAGGAAACACCGGTCCATTACTGTGTGGTTTGAGTCTGGCATAACTGTAGATTAAGCACACGAAGAAACACAAAGGAACACAAGACAAGCGTTTTCTCGCTACTAAAAGATATATTAGAAAGAGCAAAATATATAGGCGGCCAATCACTATCAACGCATGCGTGTGAAGGCACCAAGTACAACCGTGATAACATAAGAACAGTCAGTAGAGAAAACAGAAAGTGCCTACCCAGGTTTGTCCTATGCTGCGCAACGCCACTATGAGCGCCAGCGTCAACGCCGCCACAAGGGTAAGCGTTAGTGCACGCTGCTTCGCATCTATACACGGTTCGTTTCAGTGGGAAATGGTGTATTTTCATGTAATTCTTTTTTTTCTTTTCATTGCTATGGCTTTCGCTGTACCCCATTATATGTTATAATGAATAGCCGGCTGACTATACGAAAGCATTAACAGTCCCCTACGCACCATTTAAAACTCGGGCTCCGTTGCGCATTCGCTGGAAACCAGCTTCTGCTTTTGCGACTTCTCAGTATAAGATGTACTCTTAAGGGAGCAGGGAACACGAGCCGTGATTCCACTGCCCAGCGCCCCCTTCATTTTCTTCTCTTGAAGTCACTTCGCTCTCCCGTTTTGTTAGTCACCTAAAGGAGGTGCTTCAACGGTATCAGTGTGCCGTTAAGTCGTGTGACTGTCACGATCAATCACGCCAGAACTTGCGACGTCCTGATGACGTTACAATCTTTGCATTACACGTTCCCGATGCCACGAGATGGTCTCCACCGACGGAATTTCCCGTTTGATGAGGCATCTAAGGCGTTCGCCTTGATAATATAAAAGGACTTGTGCCCAAAAGTGAAAGACTAGCTGTCCGATCTTTCTTTTTTCTTTTCCTCTCCTCCAATACAGGCAGAGCCGTTCCTAATGCGGAAGCCTCGGCGCATCGAGGATGGCCGGGGTGAATACGAAGGATTCACCAAGGACCTGATGGATGCAATCAGCCGCATCAGCGGCATTAAATATGCCATTCATGTTGCCAAGACGACTGACCTGAGGGACTCCTGGGAAAGCATGATCAGCGAGATCCTCAATGGGGTAATAATGAAGAGAGAAATACATTTTTCTATGCCGTCATGTATAGGCCAAAGCAGAACTATTTATTCTAGCAAAAATTAAGGACAATTATATATGCGTTGGAATTAACTTGCCCTTATTGGGATCTATTTTAACTAGCATGTGCTCACTTCTAGATGCAAACGTACTGCGCATCATGGAAGAAAAAATTCAGAGCTTTTAATTCTGTCATATAATATGTATGGTTTTACGTTTCAAAATCAAGATATGAGAGACGTCGTAGGGAAGGGTTCCAGAGATTTTGACCATGTGGTGTTCTTTAACGTGCACTGACATTGCACAGAACACGAGGTTCTTGCATTTCGCGCACACAAAACACAAATCGCCGTGGCCAGTATCGAACCCGCAACCTGCACGTGAGCAGCCGAGCTCCGTAGCTATTGAGCTAACATGGCGGACATCTTGTCTAATTATATACGAATATGGAATACCTGTGAAGCTTCTTTAAAACTATATTGACCATTTTATCTCATGACATAATCGCTTCCCTAATTGAAGAGATCAGTTGTTCCTTGATGCCTGACTGGCTACAGCCGTGGGTTAAGCAACGTAGGTACATAAGCAGAAGGCTTAGCAACAGTAGCATTTCCTCGACGTCCACGCATACACTTTTGCTGCATTTCTTTTTGTAATTAACCCATTCATGAAGCCATAGAAGGTCTCCCTGTCAGATTATATAAAACTTTAGAACCTCCGGATATATTATGGTAACTGTGATTCGACTGAACTTTTTAATGACCTTGACTCGCCGAAATTCATTTTGTTCGCTTCGCTCGTCGTAGCAGAACGCACGTAGATTAATAAACGTCGTTTAGGAAAGGCTGGCTTCGCGATGTCTTATGTCCACCTTGCTCTCATTTGTAAGAAGCAGAAAAACACTAATATTCGATAGGTAGAAAGTTAGAAGCCATCAACAAGAACATCTTCCAAAGCGATTTAGAACTTTCTCGTTGGAATTTTTCACCAAGCTTCGTTGCTTCAAATGTTTGGGTAATCGATCTTCCCTAACTAAGTGATTAATTTGAACGCAAAATTTAGCGACTTGCTCCAAGCGAAAGTTGGCATCGCATTTGGTCGTGTCATCACAGAGTTAGCATATTTTTGAACTTGGACACGAATTAGCTTGGGCAGGAGCAGTAACGTGATAATCTGATTGTTAATTATATACACACATAAATGGAAGAAGTGAAACATGAATAAAACAAAAAATGGCGTATATAAATTACATTGTTAGAAACAGCCGCAGGCAGTTACAACAACAACAACAAAAAGGTCATACGCTCCCTGATGCATCTTCAAAGACGACTCGAAGTCGAAGCCATCTTCCTTCTCCCAGTTGATGCATCCCACCGAAATTTCCTGAAGTAGTCTTGCACTGCCATTGGATTGGGGAAATCGGAAGCTGCCCTCTTGCACAGTGTTGCAGAGCCACTGACATCTGTGAACAAGTTGCGATGTTGCGTAATGGTGATACGACCATGTCACGAATCGACCTACTCATGTGACGTTACAATTGCTCCATGATAGGGTCGTCAATTATGGCGACGAGTAATCCCAAGATGACCGCACGGGCTGACCCCGTCACGTGATGCCTTTTGCACCACTCGCGCAAGTATCCACGCCGACGGTCAATTTTCGAGTTGCATGAACCCTTTCACCAAAGGCGTGTGCAAAGGTTTCCCCCAAGTGGGGGAAAGGGGGAGGGGGAAGGTAATTATTCATAACATGCTTTACCACAGAAGAAAGAAATAAAAATGAAGTGACGACTTGCTTCTTACAGTGAACTGTCCCTCGTTCTTGGCTTTGTGGGAATACAAGGATTGGAAGTAAACAGTTGTCGGAATGCAACAGCAGGTGTCTTCGGCTGTCATTATCGGCAGTAACTTTCGTGGCCATTACCCTGGCTGAAACAATAACCAGAGATATCCGACTGAGTAAACGTATGGTGCGAACTTCGCATCCACCTTTGAGTAATTAGGGATGAGGGGTGCCCCCACCGCCCTCATGTGCACGCCTACGGGGTTGGCCTAAACAAAGGAGTCAGCTAATCGTACGCATTTGGGCTGGTTGGTTCATGTTCACAGAAGTTAAAAAACAGCGCTAAAAAGACGGGACAAGAAAAGAAAGGACAACAGGACAGGGCGCAGCGCCCTGTCCTGTTGTCCTTTCTTTTCTTGTCCCGTCTTTTTAGCGCTGTTTTTTAACTTCTGTGAGTCAGCTAATGAGTCCTAATCTGACAGTAAAACAAACTGCGTCATAAAAAAGAATTGCCAAGTACAGCGAAACTTTAGTGATGCAAATATCATGGGATTACCAAAAATATTGATATCCTGTGAAATTCGTATTACCAGAGAACATGAAAAGTTATCATACGACAAAAGAAAGATGGCGTACATTTTCCTTTATTATTCTTGCTGCGGCGGATGCATTTTCGATAGAGGCGAAAATGCTGTAGGCCCGTGTGCTTTGGTTGTACGTTAAAGAACCTCAGGGCGTGAAAATTTCCGGAGCCCTCCACTACGGCGTCTTTCATTTTTGTATGGTAGTTTTCGGACGTTAAACCCAGCACATCAATCAATCAATCAATCAATCAATCAATCAATCAATCAATCAATCAATCAATCAATCAATCAATCAATTATTCATTATTCTGCAGGGCTGCAGGAAAGTCGGAGAGTACTCTGAATGATTGTCAGTGAAGTTTTTAGATATCGGCAATCATACCAGCACTCGTAAATATGCAGCTCGTACGCGCGTGTTTAACTGAACAACCAAGTTCGTTGTAACCCGTGAAAGCATTAGCCCCTTCCAAATTTTAGTACACATTTTTGCACGACACCGTAGTACTGTGGCAAAAGTAACAAAAAATTGTGCAAAAAATTTTAGTCATGGGCGTATGTTATGATTTCATTGTCGCCGAGCTGTTGCGAATGTCTTTTTGGGAGATTTGCGGCCGTGTCCACACAAGTGTGGCCTCAACAGTCGCGTATGTGGAGGTTTCGAGGCCCAACTCCTTGAATAAGACCGTCTTCCTCCCCGTTTCACGAGATGCTTGATGCACGAAGCAGGCACGCGTAAAACCAATACAATGACAGCACCTCCGCGTACCTGGAAGGCAGCGTACGTTTGGTCAAACGTTGCGGGGTCAAATTTGGTTCGCAACAAGCGTATTTTATTACATTGCAGGACAATGAGCCTTGGGCGGAGCTGAAGAAAAATTCGTATCACCCTGAAATTCGCATGAGCTGCGTTCGTATTACCGAGGTTTCACGGTAGTCGAAATGTACTTATGCAGCGTTCCAACGCTGTATTATAGTTTTGGAACAAATTGAAGCTTCCAAATTGAGACTTCGATTGTTATCACGACTGTGTAGATGTAAAACAAATACTTTTTAAAATGCTGCCACACAGACCTTTACTGATGTTTTTTAGAGAACTAGCAAAAGAAGTCATCATGAAAATATAGTAGAGCAGGTCGTTATTAAGGCTTCTGTCATCTTTAGGTCGCTTAGTATACTAATGTGTCGTATTGTCTGCGAAGCATTTTATACGTAACATTTTAACGCGAAGACATTGTTTTGCGAAAATTCCGGCGTCGTTGATTGTGGGCGAAAAATCATCTATGCGTGACCGAAAAATCGAGTGCGATAAACAATCCTGGAGCAGAGTGGGGACCGAACCAGGGTTGTTTGGATTCAAGAGGGGGTCGAACCCGGCTCGTTTGTGTGGCAAGCGGATGTTCTATCACACGGCCACGCCTCTGCTTGTGAAAACAGTGAAAATAGCCCCACCGTTGTGATCTAGTGGCTAAGGTACTCGGCTGCTCACCCGCAGGTCGTGGTTTTGAATGCCGGCTGCGGCAGCTGCATTTCCAATGGAGGCGGAAATGTTGTAGGCCCGTGTGCTCAGATTTGGGTGCACGTTAAAGAACCCCAGGTGGTCGAAATTTCCGGAGCCCTCCACTACGGCGTCTATCATAAATATATGGTGGTTCAGGGACGTTAAGCCCCACATATCAAGCAAATCAACAGTGAAAATAACTTTCTCTGCTTGGAAATGCAGTGAAAGTAGCTATAATTCTTCACAAACACATAGGTCATGTCTACATGCTTCACAATGCAACATTAAATATTGCAGTAATAATGTGTGGTACAAGCGTCCATTGCCAACATCGTCAAAATACGTGATTATCATGACGACTCCGTGGTTGAAAGCAGGTACCTCACTACAAAAGGCACACATGCTACAGCGCCTATTCCCTTAAGTCACGTATAGTGGGTGTATAGCAAGTTCAGAAATGGTTCATGCACTATGGGTTTGAAATACGCACTTGTAACAGGATGTCGCTATCACGTTCAACTCCTAAATGCGAAGCTTTAGGGTCCCCTAAATGCCTTAACTACATGGTGCATGTGTTACTTAGTGACTAAAGCGTTTTCTTATCAGAAGACATTATTTGTATATTTAAGGCTTTGTTTTGCAGTGACATGGTAATATTTAAAATATATATAGCATGCGGCTCATATTCTCCATGTTCTGGTTTTACTGTGAGAACGTTACTTGCACCTATTCAGTTTTTAATGGCCACGCTCTTATCGTGACAACGTATATTGCGTTGCTGTATAAGTAAATATGTTATACGCTCGACCACTTAAAACTTTGGTTACCTTGCCTTTCGTAAGTAATACGGAAACGGTTCGCAGGAGACGGACATCGCGGTGGGCAACACGGCGGTCGCGGCAGACCGCTGGCACGACGTGGACATGACGCTTCCGGTGCTCAGCACGGGCCTCGCCGCTGTGGTGAGGCGGAAGGTGCTCAAGGGTGTCGGCATGCGCACCTTCATAGCGGCCTTCGATTGGCGTCTGTGGGCGGGGTGCGGCGCCTCCTTGGCGACCGTGTACGTAGCGCTGGGCGTGATCGGGTTGATCTCCCTCAGAGGCGTCGTGCACTGCTGCTTCGAACCTCAGGCTGCCACCTTTACGGACAAACACGCTCCCACGAGCTACAGGGGGCCCAATGCAGCGTGTGCCAACTTTAAGGCCAGGTACGCGGGACACTGCATTCTGCACCATATGCGCACCCTTCTCTTACGTCTGTTTTCTACCAATTAAGTCACCAAAACCTCCAAATAGTCACTTATTGCTAATTGGACCAGTTGTTTAATAGCCTTGTGTAGTGGAACTTGTTGGGAGGATACAACACGAACCGACAAGACGCCTAATTGCAACTGAGTTTATTACGAAAAACCTTCATATCAAGAAAACTTATGCGCAGGTGCATTCGCGTCGGGCACTGTCACGAAATATTGCCAAATTGTATGGAAGTGCCGTAACAACCTAAATAGATATCTAGATAGGTGTACATTTAATCAATTGAAAGAATCAAGTGCTGTCAACCAAATTTATTTCCTTCATCATTATGCATTGAATGCGCAATGATGCTCCCGTCTGATGTGAATAAGCTTTTTCGCAATCAACTCAGTTGCAACTGAGCGTCCTATCTGCCTGAAACATATGCAGCGTTTTTGCCAGCGCTCTTCCGGTGCCGCTTCTCTCGGCGTCATTGCGTCAACGCTGCCAGAGAGGGTGGCATACCATATGAGGAGCGCCAGGGCCAGCGTCAGCTCAGCGTCGCGGATTGTGTCGAAGAGAATGAGCCCGATACCTCGAAAAGCAGTGTGCAGTGTCCGTCAATGCAGCAACAAGAAATATTCCTGAAAACCGGTTTCATCTCTTATTCGTGGCTCTGAGGTGACAAAAACAAATCGCAGTATCACCGAAAATCTTTTTTTTTTACTTTTAGCGCCAACTGTTGAGGGTAAAAAGAACCAGAAACTCGCAATACACGGCCCCTGAGCTTGGCAGTTGCACACTGTCGTCTTTTATGAAAGGGAACACGCGAACGCGTGGCCTGCACTCTGCAGCAGCTGCCTACAGCACCGTCAACCGACAGCAAAAGCAAACACGTTCGCTTACAGCGTCATCTGTTGCCGAACAAAATCAGAATGAATCATGGCCGGTAGACAAGCGTTGCTAGATTGCATTCTCTCTGCTCACGCCTGCATTGCGTATTCCACTGCCAACATACCAAACGTTGTTTGCGGCCACGGCGCAAGCTGCACTAATCGCGCGATATCGCTTGCCGCGCGAGTGATCAGGGAACGTAATCTAGCAGCGCTAATCTACCAGCCATAACTCGTTATATTGCTTGGCCATAGATGACGTGAACAGCGAACGTGTTTCCTCCACTTGTCGGCTGATGGTGCTGTAAGCAGCCGCCGGAGACCGGAGGCCACGCGTTCGCGTGTTCCCTTTCATAAAGAACGGCAGTGTACATTTTTGAGGCCATGTATTCAGCCTATACAATATGGCCAGCTAACCCTACCGATGGACTTCCGTATGGCGTTCGGAAACAGTTCCAAGAAATTCCGAGCGCTTTCTGGTGAAGCTTTTGAGGAACAAGCTAAATGAAATACAAGCATCAGTTGAGAATTTTCGGGTCAAACAGAGCACGGCGATGACTTAACAGATCCGAGGCAGGCGGCAGTCATTTTGACAGCAGCAACGACGCTGTTACGTAACGGAAGTTGCTGGCAGCCGTGCGCTGATTGGTTCTCTATTCGTCGACTCGCTTCCGGCGTTGACGCCGGCGCTGCAGTTATCTGAATCGTCCAGAAAGGAACGCTTTCGGCCACCGTCACCGACAGCGTCAACGCCGAGTGACGCCGGCCTACGAAATGCGGGAAAAACGCCAGAAAAACGCTGCACATGTTTCGGGCTCAATTTTTTCGCACGCTCCATTACGCGAGAGGTCACCGAAGCCACGGAGAGGGGCGGCGGAAGGCATGTTCGGTGTTGAAATAGTTTAAATATTGGCAATGTCGTTCAGCACTGGGCTTTGTCGCCACGAGAAGGACATCGTCGTACTCTAAGTACACATTAGAGAGGTGAGCCCACAAGACCGTCAGTCCACAAAGTGCTCACACACGTGGTTGTCATAATGCATGCAGATGCCGCGCACGTACCTAGGAACGTCACTAATCGTTTTGAAGCACATAGACAACTACAAAACAGACTATAAAGTGCCATAAAATAACAAATAGATAGTTTGGCAGCGTCAACTGTTCAATGAGGCAACCTGCATTTATGGGGAAGAAATAAGGCGGTTTTCAGGAATGGAAAATGCAAAAGGATGTTTTACACTTGTGCTCAGTCGACATGTCACTAGGATGGTTGAAGTCTCGTGTTTTTTTTTATTCTGTTTTGCACAATTTCAATAACAAGAAAAGACCGACTCCGTGTCTTGACAATCAAATTGAAGCATTGTTTAGTGCAAAAAAATACAACGATATCAAAAGCGCTGGTCGAGGTTCCGTGGTGTTGGCATTGCTGGAACTTGAAAGGCGCCCCTTTCATTGGTGTCTTCCGTGGCTTACAAATGTTTGCTCGTGGTAACGATGACGCTTATGGCAAAATGAGAAGCGCCAGTCTACAGGGTGCTGAATAATTGCGAACAATGATTTCACTGATTACCACACCACTCGATGTTATGTTTCTATAGGTAGCACCACGTCAGTGCGATACACTACGCGTGCGAAATGCTGCAGTACGTTCTGGCTTCATCCACTTGCAATATTGTTGGGCGTTTGTGGAACGTAATCTAAGCGCTAGCGCTACTATCGGTTCGTTTTATTGCGACAACAGTGATAACTATGTCGCATCGCTCGTCCAGTAGTGAAACAAGTTTGGGGCAACAGGTCCATCGCTGGCCGCATTGTGGGCAGCTTCTGGTGGGTCTTCATGGTGCTGGTCTTCTCCGCCTACACGACCGAGCTGGCCTCGTACCTGAAGCCGAAGTACGAGATTCAATCCTGGGCTCATTTGGACAACACAGAACTCAAGCATATGTGGGTGCAGACAACGAGAATGTACTTGGAGGTGAGTGCCTTCGCGCCGGTGAAAGCATCGTCGATGCTCTTTCTAGAATGAAACATCGTTTCCTACTCTTTAGTAGGCGTGAATGAAAGCTATAAAAAAAATAAAGCCTTTGAGGGAATACTGAATTGACGCGCATACCAGTATTTAGCGGAAAACTAGACCTTCTACTGAATTTTACGCTACAACAGGACAGGAAGTTGGGCTGGTTGGTACAATGCATCCTTGAAGCAGCGCTAAACGACGTGAACATCTAGGTCTACATTTTATTGGTGCAGCAGTTTTATGTGCACTCTCCCCTGATTTCTGCCGTCAGCGTCGCCGGCACTGTTTGTTCCGCCATCGTGCAGCGTATAATTACGGACTTTGTTATGTACCTTATTCTCACCTGTGCATTATCATCGTCATCGTGTGTGCGTGCGCTCTGTCCGTTGACGGCGTCCATGGCTTTGTCCAATGAATGCCGTTCAAACCAAGACGCACGCGCACGCACACACACGCACACACGCACGCACACACGCACGCACACACACACACACACACACACACACACACACACACACACACACACACACACACACACACACACACACACACACACACATACATACATACATACATACATACATACATACATACATATATGTATGTATATATATATATATGTATGTATATATATATATATATATATATATATATATATATATATATATATATATATATATATATATATATATAAGGAAAGAAGTGTATACCTAGGGGCTCGTTGTTTTTCCATGTTTTAACACAATATTATTAAGATCTAACAGACAGTAATGCCAAGGAATGTACAGGGGAGGTTATTAGAACCAATGGAATGTAATTAAAAAGAAAGAAAAGTGGATGAAAAAATAACCAGCCGTGAGCAGGAATCGAACCTACGACCTTCGAATAGCGCGTTCGATGCTCTAACCACTGAGCTACCACAGCGGCCTTCCCTCCATCCACTTTTTTTGGGTTTATATGTGAATTTAGAAGTAGGAGTGACAGTCAGCGCCATCTATAAGCCAAACGACGAGTGCGAAAACACTGAGCTACCACAGCGGGTTAGAGTTGTTAGAGCATCGAACGCGTTATTCGAAGGTCGTAGGTTTGATTCCTGCTCACGGCTGGTTATTTTTTCACCCACTTTTCTTTCTTCTTATTTACTTTCGATTGGTTCTTATAACTTCCCCTGTACATTCATTGGCATATATATATATATATATATATATATATATATATATATATATATATATATATATATATATATATATATATATATATATATATATATATATATATTGTGAGGAATAGTGGAATAAACGAGACAGAGACAGCACCCTAGCATGCGCGTCCGTGCCAGAGTGCTAGTGTCTTTCTTGGTCACGACACTCAGTCATGACTGAGAAGCGGGCGGAGAGGCCTTCAATGCTTCTGGTGGGCGGGGTTGGCTGCTTCGTTGTGACCACACTGCAACGTGTTTCGGGTATCTTCGAGAAGCATCTCTGGTGGGTGGCTTTGGCTGTATTGAAGCGGGCGGTCCTGGAGACCTGCCCGAAATGCAACGAGTGGGCGATGTGGGCTGCCTTGCAAAGGTGGGTATGATGTGGTGACCTGGCTGGTGGATCTACAATAGATCGGTCAGGCAGGAGGACAAGACTAAATCACAGTGGTCGGCCTCGACCACACCGCGGTGTCGTATCACCCGCAAGACATGCTTTTGGTGGTCGGCTTTGGCTTCGTCGGAGAGGTAGCGGGGAATGTGGCATGCCCGGGGAAGGATGTCGAAAGAGTATGTGAGGAGGCACTGTGGCTGGCATGGCCTCTCGGTGCTTCCTTTTGGTGACACCCGCATGATTGCCAACGCGGAGAAGACGGTAAATACTTTCATCAGAAGCCTTATCAACGAGCCCCTCCCTCTCTTCGGTTTCCTCGACGCCCAACGGCTCTTCTGGTGCCGTTGTTGTGCAGTCCAGCGCAGGTTTTAGTCCGTCAGACCGTGGCAAAAGTGAGAGAGCAACCTACCTGCTCTCGTTCTGTGGAACCTCGCTGAACTCCTGTGTCTTCACCCCAATGTACTGCATCTCGTCCACCCGTTGAAGGTCTGCAGCCAGATTTTTCTATCTGAGCGGTGGCTCTCCCCATCACAGAGAGGTTTGTTCTGGCATCTGCCGGAATGGTGTCGTGGATTAACATGGCATTGGGTTCGTCCGGCGTTTGGAGTGACTACGCACAGAGCACTAGTGTATCCGGCAGATTCAGGTCACCAAGGGAAGATGAGCTCGGGTTACGCTGAGCCAGCATCTCTGGAGGGTATGTGGTCTCGGCTCCTTGTGGTGGTACTGTGTCGGACACTGGCGCAGTGTAAGAGCGCTGCCCGACTCTAGTATTGGTATGAGTGCAGGACGAGAAGCTTGCTGTCGACACGTTACACTGCGCAGTACCAGCCTCAAGGTGATGCATCTCCAGAGCTGAAGTTTGGCCGTATAATCCGAAAATACCATTATGAGCAAAAACGAGAAGCTTCAAATATTTTTTGCGCTTGCTGAGAGGGCTGTCCGGCAACAAAGCTTTCCGTTTCATCTACACTAATTGTGCTCATTTAACTTATAAAAAAACCCCGCAAAAACATAAATATCTACCGGGCTTGCATGTTCGATATCCAGTGGAATCACCCAGATGGGAAAGTTGAAGGACTCGTATTTTTTTTTTGTTACATACAATTATGAACGTGAAATGTAAAACAGATTTGTCTGCTTTGCCAGGAGGCTTACAGTGAGCTTTTCATCGCAGAGCACCCGCGACGAGATGACGAGGAAACTGTTTGGCTACATGGGAGAACAAGGAAGCCGCCAGGTGCCTTCGCTTCGGCAGGGTGTCGACATGGTGCGGAGTAACTTGCCCGGAAACCTGGTCGTATTCAGCGACGCCCTTGCAGCCGAGTACCTGAGCGACCAGCCCCCGTGCGACACCAGGGTCATACGAGCTCACCACACTTCGCGGAACATTGCATTCGCCGTGAATAAGAACAACACCCTGAGGTGGGCGATTACTTTGTCTCCTTGTCCTTACAAAAATGTCATATGTGGCATTTATATGCATTATATGCGGCTGCATATATCAGTATATATCCGTTCATATATCAATACATATGCCTGAAATGTCGGTACAGCTTATCATATATGAATGTAAATTGAGTCATGAATGCAGAAACTGGTTCACAAATAAAGCCGAATTCAGACATTTATTGCACGGCTGGTCTATATAACGAATCAAATCCGCCAATATACGAGACGGCCACCCCATGTATGGCGTCAAGTAGATAGTTATACGGGATAGTGTTACCATATTGCCACATGCATTTGTTTCGATTTTACTGTATTTAGTTTAGGTCACAAAAATTGTCAGCAGTGCTCGGCGAAGACAGCGCCTCTATGTTCAGAAAGCTTCACGATTGTAGCAGTTCATTTTGTTAAGGTTGTGCGTGAAATGCGAACAACCGTGCTTACACCAAATCTTGGGTAACCACCAGTGATAAAGCGGGAAAGTTCAACGCGGGATGTGTAAGAGACGGCGCGTCCCAACGGCGATCAGATTATCGAAGTCTGACGCTTTGTTCGCCGATATAAGCACACAGCGTGCATTGCATGCTGTAACTTGACTTTCCGCTTCCCGGCCACAAGCTATGTTAAATACCTTGAAAAGGGAGACTGCTGCTCTCGTTCACGTCACGACAATGTATGGAATGAACAACGTATAAATAGCGGCATTCAGTACATAATAGAAGTTTAATTGTTATCTACATCAGCAAGAATATGAAGTACAGTTTTTATGTTGGTGCAATGAAATCGGAACAGACAAATATTAAGGTTTATTTACGCGACAGTGCATAGCGCACTTCTGTAAAACTTTTACAAGTTATTCGTGTATTCTCGGTTCGTAACAAACAAAAACGTTGCAGTAATTAAGACACGAAGCCCCGTCATCGTGCGATTAAGCTACGGAAGGCAGATGGGATATTAATTGCACTTTTAAATGCAAAGTGTTTCTTAGCAACTTTTGCGACATATATCTATCTATCTATCTCTATCTATCTATCTATCTATCTATCTATCTATCTAGCTATCTATCTATCTATCCTATCTATCTATCTATCTATCTATCTATCTATCTATCTATCTATCTATCTATCTATCTATCTATCTATCTATCTATCTATCTATCTATCTATCTATCTATCTATCTATCTATCTATCTATCTATCTATCTATCTATCTATCTATCTATCTATCTATCTATCTATCTATCTATCTATCTATCTATCAGCCTACGACGTTTAGGTCTCCTGGCTGCTTGGATAATGATTGATTGATATGTGAGGTTTAACGTCCTAAAACCACCGTATGATTATGAATGCATTAACGTGCACCCAGGTTAATTAACGTGCACCCACGTTCATTAACGTGCACCAAAATCTGAGCACACGGGCCTACAGCCTTGCCGCCTCCATCGGAAATGCAGCCGGGATTCGATCCCGCGACCTGCGGATCAGCAGCCGAGTACCTTAGCCATTAGATCACCGCAGCGGGACCGTTTGGATAATGGGATCTATAACATGACTGTATGATGAGCATAAGTGACTAGTCATAACATTAAAATTGGAAGTATGTCATGAATGTGGTGATTTACATGTCATGTTCTTTATGCTATTGTGGTGGTTTCGTTCATATGGCATCTTGAAAAACTGGTATGAATGACGAAGGTGTATTACTTGTGCAAACATGATAATCATGACACGCGTGTCATGAGAAACATGACTATATGCGACGCTCATCAGGCGTTCGCGACCGTTTCGCTAGCTTCACGTATACCAAATTTTGTATTACGTGATGTGAATAGATGATGAACACAAATTCCAGGTGCAAACATGGTAATCATGGCATGCAAGTCACGTGCGGCATAACTTACGTCCGTCTCGTAATGTCGTGCTTATTTAAATGTGTCATATCAACATTCCTAATTCGGGCTTCGCATATCATCGATTCCCACTGTACATGGGAGCTGCCAACTTTTAACTAGAACGTCAGCTGAATCTGCATGCCGGCTATTAACCGCGTGCCTTGTTTTCTTCTTTGCCTTGTCAGATAGTTGGTTTACCATATTTTAGGGTAACAGCGTGAAAGACTAGGACACACACGACTGCAGTTCGTATGTGTGTTCCTCTGTAGCTCTGGTATTTCGCATTGGTACCATAAGGCTCTTTTCCTCTTCAGCCATTTCTATACAGGGTGTTTCAGCTAAATAAACAAGGAATAAAAAAATTAAAAATGAGTGCTGCGCGTTTACAGCTAGCGCTGTAATGTTCCTATCTGTATGTCGCACGTCAGAATATTTTTTTTGATCCACCAAGCACGGCAATTAACAAAGACTGGTTAATGAACTCTTTAAATGCTGACTCTAGAGAAATGAAGTTTCAATACAAGACTTGTAGCTTTTATCCAGAAATCACAAAAAATTACACTTCTGGCAAGATAACAACGCTGGTTAATTTTTTTTTCAGGGTTTGTTTGAAGTGCCCGAATTTATGTTGTAGGCGCGTGTGCTCAGATTTGGTTGCACGTCAAAGAACCCCAGGTGGTCGAAATTTCCGGAGCCCTCCACTACGGCGTCTCTCATAATCATATACATGGTGGTTTTGGGACATGTAACTTCACATATAAATAAATAAATAAATCAAACTGCCCGAAATTCAAAAAAAAAAAAATACTACATGATTGCCGCCTAAAGCCTGTTTCACATGCGAGTGACTGAGCGGCGGCGGTCGCAGCGATGAGTTTCAGCGGGACGCGCAGACTCGCCTTGGTTTCACATGCGCCGCTGCTTTTGCGCGACGCCCGTTGCTCTGGCGGGTAGTGTTGTTCGCCGAAGGCACCGGTTAACTGCTGTTTTCAGTGGTATCTGAAAGCCACGCTTTGCTCCAAACATCTTATCTTTGGTACCATGCCGCGTTTGTACAGTGATTGAACAAAATGTATCGTGAATAATAACACGATTTTCTCTCGGCTCATGGGTGCTGCCATCTTCGACTGATAAGCGTTTCTTTTGTAGATTTTCTCTGTCACTATATGAAATGATCGTGGTCATAAAACGTTGAATGTGCCGGCAAAGCGAATTCGTGCGTGTGAGCTCACTGTAGCATTGTTTGTTTATTTGATACGAATTCTTAAATGTAACGTTATCAGCACAAGATTGCTGCGCTTGAGCGCGTTTGGAAAACGGTGTATAAAGAGCGTTTGCAGTCGCTTTTAGTTTTGTTCTGGCGTTTTATTGAGATCGCAATGATAGGAACACTCTCGGCTAGATTTCGCCGTTGGCGCCGATGTCATGCACCGTATATGTATACGTATCTATATATACGAAAAAGCAAGCAAGAAAAAAGTCTAAAAAAAGGACGACTTCAGCGCGCGAAATCAAATGTGGCACCTCCGCGTCTAGAATGCGAGGCGTTAACCACTAAGCCACCGAAGCACACGACCTTCGCCGTTTAAAGGGCAATGTATTTATATCTACCACTTACCGCTGTTGGCGGGCATCTCGAGGAAGGGGGGGGGGGGGGGGCAGGCTATTGTGTTTTCAGAATTATTAGCAAGATGGCGCAATGAACGCGTGGTGGCTCTCATCTCTCACGCCTACTTTTAAAGTACGGTTCTTGTTGCGCGCTCATATAACTGGGAAACAAGGGAAAAAGTTTTCAGGTATGGTTTTATCAAACAGATGTTCCAGCTAGATAAAGGCCTAAGAACTGCGAACGTGTTTCGCACAGCACTTCCCGTGTTCCTGCGATTTATTGCTCTTGCTTTCAGCGATTGAACTTTGGGACGTGGAACGTGCTTTCTCTCCCGGCATGTACCCCTCTCAAAGTTCATACGTAAGTTTTTTCCATCTGTTCACTCGAGTAACAATAAAAGTTTATATAAGAAGCCCCAGGGGTAAACTTCAGCCGTGTTTGTGGTCACCCTGTGGCATGTGCGAGCATACTCTTCATCAGGATTTTCCAAATTGTCTACATCTCTTACGGCGCTCGGATTCGTTTGCTTTCACCCTAAACAGTAAGCCTCTTTGGTTTTTCAATTATTTTGTAAACCACCTCAGGCAGAGTATCAACAACAACAGGTAGAATGTTATACATAATACGCTCATTGTACCGCTTCTTCGGCAGATGTATATACACTCATGCGCGGCCCAGATCAGGGACTATTCAGCAGTTCTTGCTTCAGGGGGAATATGCTCCCAGAAATGCTGCGGTGGTAAGCAGGAAAGCTGAAGTATCACATTTCACACAACACACCTTTGCTTTCGGAACACAGTGGCATTTAACGGGTAGCCTTTGACCATGAATTCTAGGTGCAATCCTGTAGGCATGTGTTGCTGCACTGGGGTCTGAAATCAACAGCCGTTCTTCGTTATCTGCACAGTGTATGTTGTGCAAACGACCAAACTTGCTCAGCCAGCCACGCATTCTGGCACAGAGTGTCACAGCGAGTTGCTGGCCAGTGTGGCAGGATCAGTCGACAGCCTGAAAGCTTGAGCGTTGGGCACTGCGGATGTTTCTCACGGGAAAGGCGCCGCAGAAGACGCAGACAAGTGAGCCTGGGTTTTAGTAAGAGATAAGGCTGTTGTTGAAGGAGAAAACAAAATAACGGCCGCTGGTGAATGCCTTTCCTCAACTGTGACAGCACGCTTCGCGCCCCCTCCTTGTTGAGTAACATGAGGAAATTCCATTTTTGGGACGTGCGTGGAATGCTACCTCTCAGTTCGACTGCCGTAGCGCTCTATCGTAGCTCTATCGTTCGTGTGAATCCTGTCAGCTATGCAACATGTTAACAATATTCATCTTTTCTTAAACGAACAACATTTGCATTGACCGAGAAGTACGGCGTCCCAAGAGGCTCCTCTACGTGGGAATAACTATTCGATGACAATGCAAGACAATAATAAATAATAAATGAAGAATAAAGGCACGTGCAGCGGTTGTCACTCC